AGGGATGAAACAATGGAACAATGAGACAAACGACGCGGGCTGAAGCAACGGAACGCACGAGACAAACAAGCCGAGGTGCACGGCGAAAAAAAAACGTGGCACACTATGCAAACACAGGTACACAGGAATGGGCGCAGGGCTAGCAAAAGCAAGGACGGCCGCGCCAGGAAACGCGTTCGCAGATATAGAACGACACACGAAAACACGCGGAACCAGAAACGCGGGGTTATTCAAAAACAGAACGAATTTCCGCGACCCGAAGAAGAACAGGACTGCACATAAACCGCAAAATTATATTGGCGGAGTGGGATGCGTCGGGGGGGGGGGGTCTCATGAATGACACTCATCGCCGGTTCTGTCACCTCATACAACGACAGACACGCAACGGCAATCTCTCAATCTTCCACTCATTACGGCTCGCAATGATAGAGGTCGTCCAGGTCGCGGCCCAGCTCTTGCGCTCCACCGTCACGGCAACAGTCAGCGGGCGTCGCCGACCGCCCCCCACCCCACCGACGCGATGGTCCACCGAGGCGCACGTTATGCGAGAGTTTCTCTGAGTGCACGTTTTTCCCTCTGTGTTAGGAAATCGCGTGGCGTGGCGACACTTCCACCCACTGCAAGCATAGGACGTTTACGCCAGCCAGCGCTGGCAGCCGACTATGGCAATACCACGCAGACTCATGCAATGCCACGCAAGACTATGCAATATCCGCGCAGACGTATGCAATATCCACGCGAGACCTATGGCGACTATCCGGCAGGACTATGCAATATCCACGCAGACTATGCATATACTCGCACGGCAGACTATGCATATCCACGCAGACTATGAATATCCACGCAGACTATGCAATATCCACGCAGACTATGCACTATCCCAACGCAGACCTTCTGCAAATATCGCGGCGCAGACTATGCAATATCATGCATGACTATGCAATATCCGCGCTAGACTTGCATATCCGCGCAGACTATGGGCAATATTCGCTTGCAGACTTGCTAATATCCACGCCCAGACTATGCAATATCCAGCAGACTATGCAATATCCGCGCAGACTATGCAATGATCCGCCGGCAGACTATGCCCATATGCACCAGACTCATCAATATCCGCGCAGACTATGCCAATATCCACGCAGACTATGCAAATATCGCGCGCAGACTGGCATAATCCACACGCAGCATTAAAACAAACATCTTTAATTCCGCGAGGGGACCCGTGTAGCCGGATTTGTTTATAGCAAACCGCTATCCAAACAGCCTTCTCATACCGACATGATTAAATTACGAACAAAGCGAATTCGCAGGTGCCTAACGTCGTGACGAGCGTGCCGTCCGTCCATCAGCAGCAAATACGATACAAAAACACGCCGGTACACGTTTTTAACTCCGCATGTTCACAGTGAGAAATCTGTACCTTGGTTGGATAAGGACAACCACAGGCACCCACGCCGCAACACACGCACACGCGCACACACCTACACACGGCACCAACGCACGCACGCAACGCACACACACACCAAACTACATGACCTTACACACGACATACACACTACCTTTGCACAACTTGGTGATTTTATCCAGGATTGCTTTCGTCGAAGTAATCGTTCGCGCTACCTGCAAAGGTAAAGAAAGGATACGACGTCAATAACAGCTGAGAGTTCAATGACTGCACACAGATTGTAGGTAGCTCATCCAAACACACGCAGATATAAGTAAAGACACGCGGGAGGGGAATCAATCCTAGCAATTCAGTTACGTGTTACCATTTCCAATTGTGGCGAGAGAGAGAGAGAGAGAGAGAGAGAGAGAGAGAGAGAGAGAGAGAGAGAGAGAGAGAGAGAGAGGAGCAGAGAGAAAGAGAGAGAGAAGAGAGAGAGAAGAGAAGAGAGAGAGAGAGAGAGAGAGAGAGAGAGAGAGGAGAAGAGCGAGGAGATGGTTTACATATTCATCACTGTCCACAGAGATCGCCCGAAAAAAAAAAAAAAAAAAAATCATTATCCGTCACCGTCGTGAAGGGGAGGAGGGGGGGCAGGGGAGCAGGGGAGGGGAGGGTGGAGGAGTGGAGGCAGGGGGGAGGGGGGAGGAAGGGGGAGCAGGGAGTGACGAAGCTTATTCACACCCAATGAAACGCAGCGAGCGTTGACAGCAAGGCAGACGCTCCTACTGCTGCTGAGCTGCTGGCTGATCTGCTGCTGCTGCTGCTGCTGATACTGCTGCTACTGCTGGCTGCTGCCTGCTGCTAACTGCTGGCCTGCTCCTGTTGCTGCTGCTGCTGCCTGCTGCTGCTACTGTCTGCTGCTCCTGTTGCTTGCTGCTCTGCTGCTGCTGCTGCTGCATCCTGTTGCTGCTGCTGCTGCGGCTCGTTGGCATGCTGCTGCTCCTGTTGCTCGCTGCTGGCTGCTGGCTCCTGTTTGCTGTTGCTGGCTGCTGCTGATACTACTGCTTGCTAGCTGCTGATTACTGTTTCTGCTGCTGGGCTGGCTGCTGCTGCGCTGTTGCTACTGCTGATACTGCTACTGCTTGCTACTGCTACTGCTACTACACTACTACTTACTACTACTACTACTAAGCTGGCTGCTCTGCTGGTAAACTGCTACTACTACTGCAGCTTGCCGCTACTGGCTACTGCTACTACTGCTTGCTGCTGCTAGTGCTACTACTGTTGTTGTTGTTGTTGTTGTTGTTGTTGTGTTGTTTGTTGGCTGCTGCTGGCTTGCTGGCTGCTGCTGGCTGCTACTACTATAACTACTGCTGCTGGCCGGCTACTACTACTACTGCTGCTGCGGCTCGCTACTGGCGCTGGTACTGCTACTACTGCTGCTGCTGCTGCTGCTACTACTACTAACTACTACTACTACTAGCTGCTGCTGGCCCCCCCGCTACTTTATAGATATATAGATAGAACACACAGTAGTATGTTCTACGCGTAGTACGTTACCACGCGCATGCCTCAGCGTTGTTCTCTATAGATATATAGATAGAACACACAGTAGTATGTTCTACGCGTAGTACGTTACCGCGCGCATGCCTCAGCGTCCGTCTTGCGTTGTTCTTTATAGATATATAGATAGAACACACAGTAGTATGTTCTACGCGTAGTACGTTACCGTGCGCATTCGTCTCGCGTTGTTCTCTATAGATATATAGATAGAACACACAGTAGTATGTTCTACGCGTAGTACGTTACCACGCGCATGCCTCAGCGTCCGTCCTGCGTTGTTCTCTATAGATATATAGATAGAACACACAGTAGTATGTTCTACGCAAAGTACGTTACCGTGCGCATGCCTCAGCGTCCGTCTCGCGTTGTTCTCTATAGAACACACAGTAGTATGTTCTACGCGTAGTACGTTACCGTGCACATGCCTCAGCGTCCNGAGAGAGAGAGAGAGAGAGAGAGAGAGAGAGAGAGAGAGCCCCGCCGCGGGCGATTTCCCGCAGTGACCACGCGCGTGCTCACGTGATCGCCATGCACAGCATGGGAATTTAAAACTCTCGGGAGAACGGGTTAGCCGGGATTGAACGACGTGTAAAAAAACGTGACGTCACGCTCCGGTGAATGTGACAACGAGCGTGGGGTGGGAATGTGAGTTGGAAGGGGGAGAGTTCCCGACGGGCTACTCCGGCACGCAGCGTCACGGGCTCACGGTCGGCGCGGCTCTATGCTGTTTTCTGTGTTGCCCAGGTAATATGTGCGTGCATGGCGGCGTCACTGCTTATTTAATACGAGTGCGTTGCTCATGCATGTACACGCAAACGAACACGCACGTATGTAACTGCATGCTTGCGGTTAGTTGGAAGTATATTGCATTGAATCAGCTCATCACACGCCACATTTATATATGTATCAGGNTGCGTGGATATTGCATAGTCTGCGTGGATATTTGCATAGTCTGCGCGGATATTGCATAGTCTGCGCGGATATTGCATAGTCTGCTGCAGCGCTGGCTGGGTAAACATCCTATGCTTGCGTGGGTGGAAGTGTCGCCACCGCACGCGATTTCCTAACACAGAGAGAAACGTGCACTCAAGAGAAACTCTCGCAGAACGTGCGCTCGGTGGGGCCATCGCGTGAGGGGGGGGGTCGGCGACTCCCGCTGACTGTTGCCGTGACGATGGAGGAGAGCTGGGCCGCGACCTTGGACGACCTCTATCATTGCGAGCGTAATGATGGAAGATTGGAAGATTGCGTGCGTGTCTGTCGTTGTTTGAGGGTGAAGGAACCGCGATGACGTGTCATTCATGTAACCCCCCCCCCCCCCGACGCGTCCCACTCCGCAATTCATTTTTGGCGGTTTTGTGCAGTCATGTTCTTCTTCTGTCGCGGACGTTCTTCTGTTTTTTAATCGACCCCGCACTGTTCTGCCGTTCCGCGTGTGTTCGTGTGTCGTTCTATATCTGCCGAATGCGTTTCGGCTGCGGCGGCCTTGTTTTCTGCCCTGCGCCGTTCCTGCGTACCTGTGTTTTGCGTAGTGTGCCATGTTTTTTTTCCCCCCGTGTACATCGGCGTTGTTTGTCTCGTGCGTTCCGTTGTTCATCCCCGCGTCGTTTGCCTCATGTGTTCCGTTGTTCATCCCTGCGGCTCGTAAAAGTCCCGCAACGTTCCGAAATGCCGCGGCGAGTGTTTAGACGTGCAATTCCTCTGTCTCGTGCGAGCGTCTCAGTATGCGGTAGTAGTTACTTTACCTTGTTTCTGCTTACCTTTGCCATCTGGGCCTGCACTCCCTGCGCTACCAGGGCCTTGACGGCCGCCTCTGCAGCCTCGTGAGATTCAAAGTCCACGAACCCATAGCCTGCAAGCACACGAACGACGCAGCGGTGAACAACGGAACACACGAGACGAACGACGCAGCGGTGAACTACGGAACACACGAGACGAATGGCGTGGCAAGGCATGACGAAACACACGAGACGAACGGTGCGGGGATGAACAATGGAACACACGAGACGAACAAAAACATGCTCCCCGGAGCAGCGGCCCGGGCATTCCGGGAATGTTCCGCGAATGTTCCGGAGAGTTCCGGAACGTCGCCGGCCCCGTGTGCTCGTTCCTCTGTCTCGTATGATTTGCGCGCTCACAATCACACACGCTCACCAACACGCACACTCGCGCTCGCCCTCTCACGTTGTTCCTCTCACGTTGTTCATCTCGCATTGTTCTCGGTCGCACGTTCTCCGGCGCGTGTGCGCTCCGTACATTCCGTACGTTCTCCTACGTCCCCGCGCTGTATATGACAGAGACGAGAGAAAGAAAGAAACGGAGATAAGAGGGATAGAAAGAGCGGTATAGAGAGGAAGAGTGAGATAGAGATATCTATCGGTAGAGTAGTACGTTATTATTAGTAGAGAGAGCACAATACTCGCTAGTATGTTCTACGCGTAGTACGTTATCATGCGCATCCGTCTTGCGTTGTTCTCTATAGATATATAGATAGAACACACAGTAGTATGTTCTACGCGTAGTACGTTACCGTACGCATGCCTCAGCATCCGTCTCTCGTTGTTCTCTATAGATATATAGATAGAACACACAGTAGTATGTTCTACGCGTAGTACGTGGGAGAACAACGCGAGACGAACGCTGAGGCATGCGCGTGGTATCCAGCAACAGGAGCAGGATCCGACCAACCTGTACTTCGCGAACCTGCCGCTCTTTCTCAGTGAGAAGGACTTGGAGAATCGGCTCGTCAGCTACGGTCCGATCGTGAGCACTCGCATCCTGCGCGACCCGAACGGACAGAGCCGCGGCGTCGGCTTCGCACGGTACGTGCCGTCCCTCCTCCTCCTCCGCCGCCTCCTCCTCCTCCTCCTCCTCCTCCTCCTCCGGCTCCTCCTCCTCCTCCTCCTCCTCCTCTTCCTCCTCCTCCTCCGGCGGCGGCGGCGACGACG